TGAAGCAGCGACTAACTGCGGCTGCTGAAGAGATATTTGGGCTGTTTGAAAGAACGATAGCAGAGTACGAGGAGGAACTTTGTCGATCAAAAGAGGAGAACGAGCGACAACGGAAACTACTGGACGCTGTTTTCAACCCTCAGCTTCGGTTACACAGAGCAGGTTTGTTCATTAAACATTACAAGTTCATTATTAATAATATAACTGCAGCTTTGTTCAATAAATATTCAGTCTGTCGACGTTTCTCTGGTGTCGTTAGCCTCCTGGGTGTATTTCCTCCAAGGCGGAAATGCTCTAAACGTCTATTTTGACGTCTGTGTTAATAAGTCAAAAGTTTGTCTTAACGGGTAAAAATATAACGCGTTCAAACGACAGAGAATGCCCTGTTAACAAGAACATTTCTAGCGTCTTATGACGTTCAATAATGGGCGCAGCCATTTTATCAGTGAAGGAGAAGGAACTGATGAAATAGTTTCCGGTATACGTTGTGTTCTAATAAGTGTCCGCACAGATGAGACCAGTGGTTCCACCTGGTTCAGCCACGAAGGTTCAGGTTTAGTCATCAATTCATGTTACACTAAGTTTGATATATTCAGCATCACACTGGAGTTTGGCCACGTGTGTGAAGTAGTGTGCTGTCTGTCCGTTAGGCACTCACTCTACAGCAGGAAACGGCACTTCAAAATAAAAGCTCTGTACAATAATGAAGTTTTACATGATTTATACTGGATGAAACACACGTAGGCTGTGGTATGTTGTTCACCTCGTGGACGTAAATGAGAACTGTAGAGCTGGGGCTCCCAAACGCTTTCTTATCCAGGACCAGGGTTGCACGATATTGGATATTTTTAAAATCCGATATGTAATGCCTTATTTGACCGATAACCAATATGATATATCCATTCTTCCCCCTACCTAACTATAGTGATCATCTTATCTTTTCTGCAGTGGAAGTACATCATATTATAATATATGCAAATTGTGAAGGCCCACCAGCAGATGGTGACATGAAATATGATACTTTAAAGTGTATTTACCATCCATTCATTGTACAAAATAAGAAAAAGCATGTTGGCTGATTCTGAGTTCATTTTAAAGCCGATATCGGCCAATAGTGATGAGGCCATTCGCTCTCTTCAGTCCCGTGAGTTCAAAACAGAATTTCTCCCCCTCAGTTGCTTAGAAGACCGGTGATAGACACATAGCTAAAATGTACCCAGGGGGTGAATATACTGACAGCAGCCAATGACATGGAAGCTTTAATGCTCTAAACGTCTTGAGACGTCAAAAATGTACTCATTAACAGGGCCTTTTCTGTTATGTTAACGCACATTTGATGCGTCCGAACGTTATATTTTTACCTGTTAAGACGAACAAATTTGACTCACTATATAAACGTCAAAATAGATGTAAAGAGCCTTTTCTTACAATGTGAACAAGCATGAATTTAATTTATTTAATTTCATGTGTTATACTAAAAATCAAATTGAAAAAAATGCCTCACCACTTTTACACTGGCCGACGTGTTTCAGTTCATCCCCGTTATATTCACGATCACCCTTGTTTTTAGACTGTATAATGTAGCGATGCCCACGTTTCCCATCATGCCCAGTGCTGGACTGTGTAGTTAGTGGTTTGCAGTTTAATGTTCCAAAACGCAGATGTAATTTTGTGTTGGGATTAAAATGTGTCTGTTCAGAACATGGTGGTTTATGGTGATTGTCATTTTTGTGTTGGTTTGTAGTTCACACTATTAGTGAATCGGCTGTTATGCTCAATGATATCATCAAAATTTTCTCTGGTGTCGTTAGCTTCTCTGCTGTTGTTAGCATCTCTGGTGTCGTTAGCTTCTGTGGTGTTGTTAACTTCTCTGCTGTCATTAGGAGTTTTACCTTCCGGCCTTCATGCATTGGTTGTTGTTGTTTTTTTTTAAACGTTTAGACCTACAGAAAGTGCGTGCAGAGTCTCTGTGAGATGTTTAGCCATAACTGGCGCAGTCCCACTGACTTAATGGACACCAAACTTTATTATCTTGAGGGTGATTGGTTGGATTACATTGTCAAATATCTCAGTGCTTTTGTAGCTTTGAACTGAATCTGTGTGATTTGAAGTTTAGTTCTTCTCCTGCATCCTGTTTGTACTTTGAGAGATCTGCCGTGTTTTACTATTCCGTGTTTGCTGTCACATGCAGAGGACGCATGTTAAGTTACTGCTGATGAAAACTATTTCCCTATTTCACTGCTTTTACATAATAAAATAACGAGGCACTTTTACTGTGAAGAATTTATCAGAAGTGAAACGTATAGCACGTAACTAAAGGAACTGTGTCAGCAGCAGGAAGAAAGTCAAACCAGAAACATCCACAGTGAAGTGTTAGATGTTACTGCACTTCTGCCAACAGCTCACCTCTAACACGTAAACTTCTTTTACCCGCCCTGCTGTGTGATGGGAAAACAAAAAAATAGTGAAAAACCTGAACTAATGGAAGAACTGCTATAGAGATTCTTAGTCTTATAGGTTTCAGTCAATCTCAGTCCAGGCCTTTCTAACAGAATGTGCAGGTGCCCATTTCAGCTGATTTACTACAAAGCTGAACGCAGACCTACAGTGTAGTGATATTGTGATTACTTACAGATGTTATAGAGACCTGACACAGCTGAGTGAACACTGTGAAGCTGTTTGATGCTCAGTGACAGTAACATCTGTGTGTTTCCTGTTTCCTGCAGACGTCCAGCAGCTGTTGGTGGTTAAAGAAGAGGTTCCCCCTGAGCAGCAGGAGTGGAGCTCCAGTGTGGACCAGGAGGACCCAGAGCCTCCACACATTAAAGAGGACCAGGAGGATCCAGAGCCTCCACACATTAAAGAGGACCAGGAGGACCCAGAGCCTCCACACATTAAAGAGGACCAAGAGGAACTCTGGATCAGTCAGGAGGGAGAGCAGCTTCAAGGGCTGGAGGAGGATGATATCACCTTCACATTCGCTGTTGTCCCTTTGAAGGCTGAAGATGAAGAGGAAGAACCTCAGTCCTCACAGCTTCATCAAAGTCAAATTGAGGAGAACAGAGAGGCAGAGCCTCCAGCCAGCAGCTCAGCTGAGCAGATGGAAACTGGAGCTGATGGAGAGGACTGTGGAGGACCAGAACCAGCCAGGAACTCAGATCCAGATACACATTTACAGCCTGAGACTGATGACAGTGATGATTGGACAGAGACCAGAGAACCTCAGTCTGGTTCAAAGTCCCTGAAAAATGATGAAGACCCTGTCAGTGATTTGAGATTTCGTGGTTGTGAGAAACCATTCAGCTGCTCTGAGTGTGGGAAAAGATTTGAACGCAAACTACACCTGCAGCTACATAGGAGAACTCATACAGGAGAAAAACCGTTCAGCTGCACTGAGTGTGGGAAAAAATTTAGTGAACGTGGAAATCTGAAGGCACACATGAGAACTCATACAGGAGAGAAACCATTTAATTGCTCTGTATGTGGAAAAAGTTTTGGTGTAGGTGGAAATCTGAGGACACATATGAGAACCCACACAGGAGAGAAACCATTCAATTGCGCTGAGTGTGGGAAAGGATTCAGTCAAAGTGGGTCTCTGAAGATGCACATGAAAACTCATACAGGAGAAAAACCATTTAGCTGCTCTGAGTGTGGGAAAAGATATAGTGAACGGCGAAATCTGAAGGCACACATGAGAACTCATTCAGGAGAGAAACCACCAAGCGGCTCTGAGTGTGGGAAAAGAAATTACAGTCGGACAGGTCCGGGGGAACACATGAGATCTCATACAGGAGAAAATACATTGAGTTGCTCTGTGTGTGATAAAAAATTTTCCCGTAAGAAAGATTTCAGTGACCACATGAGATTTCATACAGGAGAGAAACCTTTTAGCTGCACTGAGTGTGGGAAAAGATATTGTCAGAGTGGAACACTGAGGCGACACATGAGATTTCACACAGGAGAGAAACCATTTAGCTGCTCTCAGTGTAGGAAAAGATTCTATCGTAAGATAGAATTGGAGGATCACACAAGATATCACACAGGAGAGAAACCTTTCAGCTGCTCGGTTTGTAAGAGGTCTTTTACAGAAAGAGGAAACTTAAGGAAACACATGAGAACCCACACAGGAGAAAGACCGTTCAACTGCTCAGTGTGTAGTAAAAGTTTCCCTCACAAACAAACCTTAAATAATCACATGAGAACCCACACAGGACAGAAACCTTTTAGCTGCAGTGTTTGTCACCAAAGTTTCACCTGGCGTTACCAGCTCATAAACCATCAGTGTCATTCTTCACAGACTCATCAAACTGAGACTGAGGAGAACAGAGAGGCAGAGCCTCCAGCCAGCAGCTCAGCTCAACAGATAGAAACAAGAAGCTGATGAAACCAGCCAGGAACACAGATCCAGATACTCATTTACAACCTGAGACTGATGACAAGACTGGAGAGTCTTCTGAACTTGAGACTGAACACTGATGATCATTGGAAAAACATTTTAAGTATGGTAAAATATTTGTCCACTATTGTCTGAGAATGCACCTGAGGATTCATACATTACATTGTTCAGTTTTTGATACAATATTCCCTTGGAAGAAAAAATTAGTTTGTAACATGAGATTTAGGCTCGTTCAGGAGAAACCCCTGAGAATCTCAATCAGGGTAAAATTCTGAAAAATAAAGTCTGTGTCAGTGGAGTGTAATCTGTCAGCCAGAATGACATTCATCAGGTCTCTATCAGATGGGAAATCACACTGAGAGAAACCATGTAATTGTTCAGTTTTTAATACAAGAATCCTTGGATGAAAAATTGAGACTTTCACATGAGATTTTGAGTTGGAGAAAAATCTTTTTGCTGCTGATTTTGTAAGACACAGTGACCACACAGGAGAGAAACCCTTCAGCTGCTCAGTGTGGGAAAATATTTAAATTTAAGATTAATCAGGCAGTCACGTGTCATCGGCCGTAAGTGTGTCATCAGTAGCAGCGGCATTAAAACTACTGCTTCAGATGAAACTCTGGAGCAACAGAGAGTTGAAACAGTTGTTGACATGTTTGAGATGAGAAGAGTTTCTGCTGTAAGCAAACAACATTTAGGGTTGGGTATTATTTCACTGTTAGAATTATGATCCTGGTTTTTCTTGATGTCTCATATTAGTTCTTCAAAACAACTCTTCTTTTATAGATTGAATTGAGAAGAATCTTGCCGTTCACAGCATTTACTGAACTGCTTTATTTTCTTTTGAGGTGTGTGATGATAATTGAATGATACATTTGACCTGGTTTCTGTAGATTGTTTATTTTTATACGATCGTGTGATATACTTTTATAAGCTTTACATATTGTGTATATTGATCTGGTTTGGGCTTATTTCCAACAGTAATGTTAGCCTTCCCTACACAGATGCTTTTTCTGTATAT